TGGTTGAAGCGATATTCCCATAGGCAAAGCGAGCTGAAACACTTGGATCAGACTGTTGCTTCTTTGTATATACTACCTGTGCTTTTGCGTGTTTTTAGTTTTCCTCATGAGGTCAATGAGATCTATCTGAATTTGGTAATCTGATTTGCATAGGCTAGACTTGAGTACATGTAGTTTACTGTCAGGAAGTTAATACTTTTGTCATTTTCGTCATCTTTGACGGATTTCCATATGTCAAAAATATGAGAAAAGAGATTGAAAAAGGGGTGTATCATTTGACTATTTTTTTTAACATGGCATGATTCTTTTCAATAATAAAAGCATGAGATTCAGTGGCCTGGGGCTCAGATGTTTCAGTATACGAGATATATCAAATGATATCTCCAGTGTGTATATAAGCACAACCTCGGGCCCGCAGAACGTCTTATGTAACAAATCATTATCAGGCTTCAAGGACATTCTTAAATCCCCCTATCTCTCTGACATCTGACTCTTTCATATTTTCAAACCATGTAAACCTACAATCATGGTGCTCTCGCTGCCAGTCCCCGGCTTCTCCAGATCCTCCCGCCCCGACGGCACCCAATCTCACCGAAAGTCAGGCTCCGGTTCTTCAAGCTCCTCCACTCGCAATATTCGAAAGCCATCCCTAGGGCAGACTGGCTCCTCTCCCAACAGCCACTCCATTACCCTCGAAGCGCTACGAAATAATCCTTTCGGCAGTACCTCCCGAGCCCAAGGGCCCGTTCAACTCTCGGCCCACGAAACAGAGGAACACAAGCGGGAACAGGAGGAACTCAATACTGCACTCGAGACACTGGTTCGCATCTTTCCCGATATACAGATAGAGGTATTCCGGGAACTGCTGCTACGCTTTGACGGACAGAGCCGGTTACAAGTGTGCGTGGAGGAGCTGCTTAGGCATAAGAAGAAATGGGTTTCAGGGCGATGGAATCTCCCGGAAGGAACTGAAGCCGAGGCAGAGGGAAGTGCTCGCGCAGCCCCTGGGGGCGATGACTTTGCTCGACACGACCTTGGCGATGGTGGTCTGGTCCCTCCCGAGGAGCGGTTTCGGTCCGATGATTACAAGGCCGCCGTGCGGATGGCCATGACAAGAGAGTATAATGGTCTGAACAAAAGTACCGTGGAGGCTGTTCTAGCTGAAGTGAATTTCAGCTATGCTCGGGCTCGACCAACGCTCCGGGATCTGTCGCGTCGGACATGGCGCGCGACATTCAACAATATGTTCCCGTCTTTCAGGCGAAAGAAGGACCGCGAGGAACATCCGCTTCTGTCCTGGCATCGTCGACCAGATGGGGAACTTGTTCCTGTTCTGAAGGAAACTGGGTGCAGCGAGCTGGATGCAGAGCTCTCCGAGTTGTTGTTGGCCCCGCTGTTAAGTCAGAAGCGCGAAGAGCAGCAGGATAAAGATTTCCGACTTGCTTCAGAGTTGAACGAGAAGGAAGCTCAAGAACTCAATGCCCTTTACGAATGCGAGTGTTGTTTCGCCGATGTGACATTCGAGCAGATCGCGACATGTTCAACCAACACTCATATCATTTGCTACCACTGCATTCAAAGAACCGTCTACGAAGCGCTGTTTGGGCAGGGCTGGGGAAAGTCTGTCGATCTGGAGCGCTCTACCTTGAAGTGTCTTGCACCGCTGTCCGTCGGGTTGTGCGATGGATGTCTTCATCCGGAGATTGTCAAGCAAGCAATTCTTCTCGACACGGCTGGCTTCGAGACATACCGCAAATTCGAGGATCGGCTCTCCTCTGAGGCACTTATGAAGTCTCAACTGAAGCTCGTTAGATGTCCGTTCTGCTCCTATGCTGAAATCGACCCAGTCTACCACCCTCCATCCCGTGGTGTTCGCTGGCGGTTCCGTCGTGACGGTGGCATTATTCCTACTATTTTGATGACCCTCCTCCTCCTTGACCTCGTCCCCTTACTCGTAATTCCTGTGTTTATTATATTACTCTTGGATCCAGCCACCGTAACATCAGCCTTTGGGAATGCCATCCGCAACCTCTGTCTCAAGATCCGGCCTAAACGATTCATCTGCGCCAACCCATCCTGCTTACGCGTCAGCTGCATGGCATGCCAGAAACCGTGGCGAGATCCACATGTGTGTCACGAGCCGTTACTCCTGGATTTGCGCGCTACCGTCGAAGCTGCCCGCACCGCCGCCGTGAAACGCACCTGTCCCCGCTGCTGCCTCTCATTCGTCAAGTCCTCAGGCTGCAACAAACTGACTTGCGTCTGTGGATACTCCATGTGCTACCTATGCCGCAAGGCACTAGGCCCACCTCCACGAACAACCGCGCCTGGCCGTACCCTCCGCAGGTTAGATGTCTTCGATGGCCCGGGCGATATACCCGACGATCCCTTTAACGATGAGCAGGTCGCTGGAAACATGCCCGACGACGAATTCGAAGAACCAGAAGGCTATAAACACTTCTGCGAGCACTTCCGCATCAACCCTGGGTCTCGCTGCACAGAATGCACGAAATGCAATCTATACCAAGCAGAAGACGAGGAAGCGGTCGCCCGCCGCGCAGGCGAAAAAGCTGAGCGTGAATGGCGGATTAGGCAAGGCGATTCCGGTACCAGCAACCCAACTTCGGCTGTTGAATTCCGCAACGTAAACCAAGATCTCTCGGCAGGGGTGGATGGTCACTCTGCGAATCGCCGCGCGACGGCTTCACTTTGGGATTTGCAGCTTACATCTTCGAATAAGCCGTGGACTTACTGGCTCAGTGATGTATGGACTGATGGACGGTGGAAACTTGAGGGCCAGGCTTTTGCGGATTGGATTGTGGAACGGGTCGTCGAAATTGGGGATGTATGATTTCGTGTGTACCTTTGGCTACCCAATTTTCAGGTCCCTTCTTTTCAGCTTTTTTTTGGGGGGTTGCGTTTTGCAAAAATGGCGCTTTCTTTTTGTTTTTCATTCCCTGGTACTCTATGCAGAGTATCTGAACTGGCGTGCAGTGAATCTTGCTTGGAGGGGTTCAGACGACGTGATGATTAATGACACTCCCTACTTCTGTTTGATAATTGCGTGGCTTCTTACTACTGTCAAGATGTAGTGAGAAGCCTTATTCTCTTTCTAATGCACGGCTTTTTTTTGAGACCAGTCTTGTACTCCTAAATTGAATACCTTTACTGATAAGGTCTAAAAACAGAGAAGTAAGTTGGAGGGTATGTCTTGAATTGCGCGTGATGCTTAACAAAATACAATCTATGGATGAATACACGAGAGGGGGGGGAGGGGGGAGGTAGAACACCAAAACCATAGTGAGAATATATGCTGAACCTAATGAAGACATCCACTGAAGACCCCAAGGACGGGTCTGCTGGATGATGTATCCACCCAACAGTAGTTGTGTTGACCAAATGTTTGGAATTGTGGAAGCACTATTCAATATGAGTGCACATGTGGCTTGTTGATTGTGAGCCTTGCCGAGGATGAACAATTTTTCCTTGTCCTTTTGCTGTAAAGTTTGTTGATGCGAAGTCTTTTGTGGACTTGCTCAATGATTGGACGAGGCTGAGGCACGAGGATGGAGATTTTGTTGACGAAAAGACTTGGTGAGGCCACATCTGTTTTCTGGGTTTGCCGTGGTGACTGTTTGGAGGCCAGCTGTATGACCAAGAAGTTCTGAGAGACCATATCTGGCTGGCTGCGAAGCTTTGTGGAGGCTTGGTTGACCAAGAGGGATTCCAAGGCTGTCTTTGTTCGTCGGTTTAACCAGAAGAGTTGAATATGAGAAGGGGCAGACTCGATAGAGAAGCCATTGCATATTTGTTTGTCCAACGAGCTGACGGACAGCTGTTATCAATCAAGCATATGGTGGCCATGGTGGTGATAGTGAAATGCCGATGATGAAAGGCTCTTAATGGAAGGTTCATGATAGTGTGGGTGAAGGGCTCTATGGTGGAATATGGTCATTGTGGATGGTTGTCAAGATGGATGGTTGTTAAGATGATTGAAGGATAGTGGTTTATTGAAAGATGGTTGTTAAGACTTTGGTCACGGTAGATATAGATAGTGATTGTCGTATGATGGACGGTGGTCACGGTGGTTGTTGGTCAATATGGAAGGTCAAGCAAGGGTGGAAAGGTCAAGAGTGAAGAAAGGCTGTCACCATAAATGGTGTTCATAGTAACCAAGACAAATGAGAGTGGAAAAGCCCATCACCATGGATGAGTCCAAGATAACAGACCAGAGTGGATTGTCGTCACCGCGGATAGTATCACCGTCACATCAATGTCATTTCTAGAAACAAGTTAGAGTGTCCATGACTTGAGGGTGAAGGGGATGATATTTAGTCTATAGTGTATGGTGGTCACGGTGGATGGTTGTGGTCACAAGTGGTTGTCAAGACAGAAGGCCGAGACAGGAAAATGTTGAGATAAAAAAAAGATCATGGAAGAAGGCAAGTGAAAGTAAAGTTAAAAGAAATACTAATAGTAGTCTTCACCGTGGTACCATCACACCAGGGTAATATTATGAAATGAAGATAATTCAAAATGGTCACCAGGATTATTTCTAGAAACAAGTTAGAATGTCTCTGTAACACAAGGATGAAGGTGTGTTATGTAGATGGAGACTCTGGAAGCTGAAAAGAGGAGATGTGAAGGAGGAAGAAAAAAAGGAGAGAGAAAAATGGGGGAGGGAGGTATTTATACCCCAGCTAAGGGAGGGAACGGAGGTGACGACTCCTAAGGTGAATTCCTAATTGGGAACTGAGGAAACAGAGATGACTACCTTTCATTTATCCTTGCATTACCTATGTCTTTCTAAGATATTTAGTAGACTGAACTCTAATATATGTTTGGCATTGCTGTTACTTTTGATATCCCATCTAGATGAATAGAAAATATCTGCCAGAACAATCATTTACATGTAGCTACAAAGAGGAATCCATGAGTTTGAGAAAGAAAAAAAAAAAAAAAAAGACATGTAGTCTAATAGCCCGGGCAAATTCAATCATTCAGCCCACCAATGGACTCCCTGGGTAATGGGGATCGGGACGCTCCGGCTGGCTATCAGGGCAGAGATGCTTGAAGCTTTTGAAGTTGTCCATATTAGCCGCTGTGATAAAGTCTTTCGTCGTCTGAGCATCGTCTTGCGCCGTGTGAGCATTGCCCTTGCAAATCGGTCCGCACCAGACAGGGCGACTCTCGTGGCCGTATGGCTGCAAAATATACTCCTTCCCATAGTAATTCGCGCCAATAGCATTGCCGACATCACACACCGGAATGGTGAAAATACCCTCCCAGGATGCACCTTGGGCACCGGGGCTTCCCCAAGAGTTTTTGATGGCATCTAAGGCACGATTGGCAGCTACTGTGGAATTGTATTTATAGCCAGCGGTATTGTAGGCATCAAGAGAGGAGTTGATGATATCCTAGGAAGAGGTTAATATCACGCAACTCCTGTGGTTTTATATGTCAAGACTTACGGTAACCTTGACGCCTGCGTAATCACCCTGACCTAGCTTGTCAAGCCCAGGGGGCGGATTAACCCATCCCCATTGGTGGTTGGTAGTGGAGATCACATCGTTCGCCTGCCAGTAGTATAGGTACCAGGCCTTGCCGTCACGGCAAACGACAGACTCCTGGGGACCAGAACCGATTCCCTCGTTATCGCCGCAGGCACCGCCGCCCATAATAAAGACCTTTTGAGTACGGTATAACTGATTAATGGCAGTGCCAACTATCATACTGTTCATTTGATCAGTGACGGCGTTCTTGTCGACCCCTGGGTAAGTGAGAAACGCTCCACCGGCAATGTATTGGCGAATATCTGCGTTGCCATACGTTTGGCCACGCATCAACTGGTTATTAGCGGTCGTGAACGACTTCATCGAGTCCACAATGATGCTGCCCAGAATTGCACCTAGGTCGGCAGACTTGTCGAAAGTATCATTCTCACTATTAATTTGTCAATACAGAGATGACAAACATTCCAAGACAGAAATATCACATACTGAGCAGGTATAGCAGCGAGAGTAGCACCACTTGCACCACCGGCGAGTGCAGCACCAACACCAGCAGCTATACCAGCAACAACAGGGCCTAGTCCAGCAAGCGAAGCACCAATACCAATAATCATAATCAGGGCGTTGAGTACCTCCCTGAGTACAAGGAGACCCTTAACCTCTGCATCCTTGTAGAAAGTGACAGCCCATTTGTCCTTGGACAAAGCCGCACCCAAAGAAGTAGTGGTGAATGCCTCGCTAATGCCGTCAAAGTAACCGTGCAGGCGATTAACGGATTCGAGGACATAGTATGCAGGGCGGGTGTCGTCACCGCGGCCATTGAGGACTCGGTTATCACACACCGGCAGATCGCAGTTTGAGCTTGGGCCGCCATCAAAACACGTCCAGTCTGGGCTTCCCATTGCCCATAGACCGAAGGCACCGGCAAACCCGCCCCCGTTGTCGGCAATCAGTTGGCTATTGCTGTTCCACCAGTTGTCGAGCCAAGCGCCAGTATTGTAGGTTTCCCAGTCCTCCATCTTTTGGTTGTAGTAATTGGCTAATGGCCCGCAGCGTTTGTGCGGGACACCTGCATGTACTACTGGCAGGAGAGCGAAGGCCGTCAAGACCAGAGAAGACAACATGTTGGATTGTCAATTGCTTGAATTGTTGGAGATAGAAGAAAAACATGATTATCATGACTATCTTTATAGATCTTCAAATAAGCTCTAAATATGGGGCGGATAGGCGACCACTTACCAATTTAGGAATATGGGGCCTATCAATTTATGTCAAGTGGCAAGTACGGCGTACATAGCAAATAGATGATCTGACAGAGATGCTGCATTCCTTCCAACGGGCCAGGAGGCTTGAGCTGACCCAGGTGAGGGGGGATATTCCCACGAATTAAAGGTCAAAAGACTTATCTATTCCGAAGAAGGCGGGATCCTGATTCTGATATGACGCCCTGGTGATATTGTTCAAAACCGAAGAACTTCTGTAGAGTTCATATGAATGAAAATTGACCAGTTTCCGTTCTTGGAATATGCTGAAAGCGTTGAAGTTGAAGAGTTTAAATAGAATCACATGTTCTATAATGCCTAATGTCTTAACACCGGGTACTTTATCTAGGTAAGCATCACACAATTTCAATGGGCCTTCTTTAAAAGTGAAACCATAATCTCAAGCGAGTTTATGAGATATCTGGCAACCAACTTGCAAAGTCAGCGACTGAGCCAATGGCCTTATTTCTCTGATAAGATGTGCAATACGCAGCTCCATCAGGGCTTCAAAGTATGAGGTATCGAATATGGATACACGGTGAATTAGATTAGGGTAATGATCCTAGTCGAACTGGTTCATTCATCGGCATTAACAGAGGCCTGTGGGTCACTTCCGACGTAGAATAATTCACCGTAGTCCAAAGAGAGCCTATCTAGGGGAGTGATGGCTTAGAAAGCCCATGGACGACATTTGCTAATTTTCCACGGAGAGCCTCCAGAGTTTGGCCTCGCTAATGTTGGGGTCAGGGGTATGGTATTTAAAAAATATTCCGACTGGCCCTAAGACGTCAGGCCTGAGAAACTGGAGTACCCAGCCATCAGCAACCTCCTCAATTTTCCCCCAGGTATCATGGTCGTAGCACAGGTGTGGCTGCGTATTCAGGAAATCTCAGGATTCAGACATCGTGGATATAAATTAAGGTACCCAGTCTTATAGTTAGCGCTCAGGGTTCAAACCCCAGTTTTAAGTAGGGGAAATTGGTGCCTGAATGCCTTATTTACGCAGCTTATTTTATAACTAACTAACTAACTAGTTATTAACTAAGGGGGTAAAATCTGGGGTTGTCCGAACTCAGCCCTAATAAATATGCAACTGATAAATGGGCTTTTATTATTTGTAGCACTGGGGATCAGCAATCAGCACGCTAGGCACTTGGAGACTGGTCTTTGAATTTAGGACTTCTATTATAGTGCAACGAATATTGGACAATGGTCTATATGCTTCTATGGGCCAAAATCGGCCATAGAGTGCTCCGGCCTTTTGTGATCAAAGCCGATTAGATCTAGTTCTCTCTTTGTTCTTCGTCCAACTCTCCGTTGAGTCGTTTCTTCCCTTCTACCTTCAACGCTTGATCGTCCGCTCGGTTCAAACCAACCTGTGGCATCAACCAAACGGCCAAAAAGAAAGCAAAGGTTGCAAGGGATGCACCGACAATGAAAATGATACGGAATCCCTTTTGATATGCCGGTGTTAGCACACCACGGACATGCTCAGCATCCTCTGCAGATAACTTTGACAGATAGTTCTGTGGGCTCGAGAGAAGAGACCGGGACTGAGATTCGTCGAGATTGAGGACTGAAATCGACGACGAGACAATATTATTTCTGTATTGGTTAATAAGCGAACGAGCCAACATATTTGAAAGAAGTCTTACATTATTGTTCCGGCAATAGCGAGACCTAGAGTACCGCCGAGGTTTCGTACGAAGCTGCTCATTGTTAGCTTCATAAAATGACTACCAGCACCGTGGGCGCCACTTACTTCCTGAATGAAGTTATTACAGCCATATCCCGTCTTTCAACACCGGCTTGAACTGCAATGAGAGAGCTAGAGGGAGTTAGCAAAATTTAGTGGACCAGGATAAGGGTCCACGTACGGCTGCAGAGTATTTCCAACCCCGACACCAGTCAGAATGCCATACCCAATCTGCTTTCCCAATCCCGAATGCTGATTAAGTGTCGAGAAAAGACCAAGGCCAACAGCCCAGACAATCCATCCAAACAGGATGCATTCACGGTACCGGCCTACCCAGTGTACAACAAGACCGGAGCCTGTGCTGCTGAGAGCTACGACAGAAGTCAGCACAGGAACACAACCAAGAATAGGATCCATACTTTGCATGAGGGTAATAGGGAGCAGCATCGCAGCCGCTTTTACCGTTGAATATCCAAATACCAGCTGATAGAAAGTGGGAATATAGTAAACTTGCACTAGAAAGTTCCACCCGTTGATGAACATGGTCAAACACGCGCCGTTCACAATCCGACCATGGAAGATATGCATTGGAACCAGCGGAGTCGACGCACCCTTCCATTGCCATACAACAAAAGCAACAGAGATGGTGAGCCCAGCGACCAGAGTTGCAATAACATGCGCCGAGTTCCATTCATACTCGCCGCCGCCCCAAGTCAAACCAAGCAGCAAGACCGAAGTGCCGCCGAGAGCCAGAAGCGCACCAAAGAAATCAATTGCCTTCAGCTTGACTTTCCAGTCGCCAGTGACTTTCCGAAGGGGCATAAAAAACAAAACAGCTAACGTGGTTAACGCAGTGAGTGGCAGATTCAAACGGAAGATCCATCGCCACGAGTCTTGTGAAATGGAGGCTAGTGCACCTCCAATGATAGGACCAATGCCATTAGCAATAGCAACGACGGCACCTAAAATGCCTTGATATTTGCCTCGTTCACGGAGAGGGACAACATCACTGACGATCATCTGTGCGACTGTCATGAGACCACCGCCGCCAACTCCTGTGAAAGCACGAAAGACAATCAATTGCGTGGCTGTCTGCGCAAGAGAAGCTGCCAATGACCCGAAGAAGAAGATGGCTAGGCCAACAAAGAGCACAAACTTGCGAGACCAGATGTCGGATAGTTTTCCATATAGTAATTGGAAACATGTTGATGTTCTGTGCCGTGACTGTTAGCTTGATCGAGTAGTATCATCACTACAAGAGAAAAGAAAGGAGTACTCACACGAAGTAACCGCCCGAAATCCAAGAGGTCTGATCACTGGCCCCCAATGCATTTCCTATGATAGACAAACTAGCCGCGAGGGTCGTCTGGTCCATCAATGCCAGGAGGTCAACACTTGAGCATGCCAGGAAGATCTAGGAGCTGTCATTAGCTAGGCCATATATGCATTCCTTGTCACCTCATCCACTAACCGTGATGATAGTGCGCTTAGGCACATAATTGGTTTGTTCGTTGAAACTGACATTAGTCACATTCTTCTCGACTGCGAAGTCCTCTGTTGGTTTCGAATTTTCGAGTACCCCTGTCATGGCGTGTTGATTTCAAGGGATAGAAAGTAAACATACACCAATCTAAAAACGTGGTAAAATAAGAAAAAGGGAAGAAAAGAGAGAAAGGAAAAAAAACCACCCAAAGAGGCCAAAACGGAATGATCAATTCAATCTATTCATATTTTGATCATTCATAGATCGGCAGTCTGAGCACCTTGACAGAAGATCGGCGTGTCAAAGTTGACAAAACTTCTCAAACGCCCTCAAGGTCCCCGCCGCTTAGTACAATAGTATATCGGGATATCGGAGTATTTTCAGCTAATAGGAAATTAAAATGTGAGGACCTGTGGGATTGAATCCATTCCTGAGGACCTTGCCAAACCCTGTGTAGAAGATCGCCAAGTCAGACATCAAGAATACGAGAGCATGACGCAGATCCAGTGCAAGCCATTCCGTTTTCAACCTTTCTATATCCAATTACTGTGACAAACAGGCATGCCTTACAGGGTCTGATCTATACTTGGACCGTCTCGATATCCCCGAGATCACTCCACGCGACTTCCTTGTTCGTCGTAGTAGCAAATTTCCAGGGCCTCCAGTGTCCACCTATATCGTTAAAGCCCCTCATATCTGAGTCGTGTGCGGGATATTCACTAGTGGAGTACAAGTATATCTTACTTTCCTAGCTATTGGACGCCAAGAAAGACGCAACAGGATGGAGGGGCAAGTGATGGACCGCCATGGAAATTTATTCTGTATAATTGCCTAGATGAACCCGGGATTTTCTTCTCTCATATCTGTTTTCATCCCCCGAGAAGATTGCTCTTGAATCTCGCGCAGTAGAGGCTTTCTGCTACTCGACTATCAACATCTATATCTTGCACTAAGGGTATCCCGGGCAAGATGATCAATTCTTCCGAGAAAATGACCAATATGAACGAGCGCAATGTGTACTTCGGCACTAACTCGCTGAAAAAATATTTCGACCCGGACTGTCAGCCTCCTCTACCCCTTGTAGAGCTCCCACCTCATTTGAATCCTTATCATCAAGAGGGGGTGCGGATATATGCCAAAATGATGACCATGCATCCGGCAAACAATGTCAAGGCAATGCCAGGTATGAGAAGTCCTAGGGGAACACTAAACACCAATTGTAAGCTAACACGAGACCAGCACTGAACATGCTCGAATCTAGTGTTGTGCCTGGCAAGACAGACCAGATCATCGAATACAGCTCCGGATCAACAGTGATTTCAATGTCAATGGTCGCCCGAGTCATGCACGGAGTAAACGATACCCGGGCCTTCCTGAGTAACAAGACTAGCGATGCAAAACTGAAGCTGATGCAATTCTTCGGTCTCGACATTACCTTGTTCGGTGGACCGTCTCAGCCAGAGCCATTGGACGAAAGAGGAGGTATTCAGAATGCCCGAAGAATGGCCCTGGAGTCAGAGACAACAGTCAATCCCAACCAATACGAGAACAACAACAACTGGAAGTCCCATATCCGATGGACCGGACCACAGATATTCAAGCAGCTGCCTGAAATAAACGTTCTCTGCGCTGGTATGGGCACATCTGGTACCATGACCGGACTGGGGACCTATTTCAAAGATGTGAAGCCATCTGTTTACCGACTTGGTGTTTGCACAGCCCCTGGTGACCGGGTACCTGGTCCCAGGTCATATGCTCTCATGCGCCCTGTTGAGTTTCCCTGGAGAGCAGCCGTGGATACCATCGAAGAAGTTGGATCGGCCGAGTCGTATACTCTCTCCCTGAATCTATGCCGAGAAGGACTGGTCTGTGGCCCATCATCTGGGTTCAACCTCCAAGGACTCTTCCAGACGCTGGCAAAGCGCAAGGCTGCGGGAACCTTATCTGAGCTCGCAGGGCCAGATGGCGTAACCCACTGTGTCTTCCTCTGTTGTGACCTACCATACCAGTACATCGACGAGTACTTCCAAAAGTTGGGCGAGCAGCAATTCCACCCAATCCGAAATGAGGTAAATACCACCTAGCGAGTCCACATTGGTCAAAATATAAAAATAAAAAAAACTAATCTATTCACTATTCACCAGCGCTTGACAAAAGTTGACCTGCATCGATATGACGAGAGCTGGGAGCGGGATGCATTAGATGTTCTACCGCAATTTTATGGATCATCACGATCCCTTGCGCAAAGCTTATTGAGCGAGATTGCCCTCAAATCACAGAATCGCGTTGTGGACCTGCGCCAGACGGAAGATTTCTACACGTGGCACCTCCCTGGTTCGATGAATCTACCATTATGCAGTGTTGGACCTCATAGCGCGTCACCGTTTTCCGACCCGGGATTGTTGGAAGCGCAATGGGTAGAACTGGAGAAGATTTTCAACGATGACGTCTTGGTCTCAGATCTGGGACGACATCACGTCCTCGTGGTATGTTACGATGGGGATTCGGCACGTGTAGCTACCAGCGTGCTTCGGGCGAAGGGCATCGAAGCAGACAGCGTACGTGGAGGCCACAGTGCGCTAAGGATGTATGAAATCGGGTGTGAGAGCCCGATCTCCACTACCAAGGGGCCTATCAGGGGTAATGTTTCCATTGCGGTGGCGCCCCTTGAACAGAGGACCTGAGACTTAGGATCATAGCGCAATCAACTGGGAGAATGCGGAATGTAGGGTTGGATCTGCCATGTGAGGCGCTAGTCCCAATGCAGACATATTGTACCTCGATTTTCTTTTTCCCCCTGCTTCTTTTTTTCTTGGTATTATTTTCAATTACTCTCATTGGTTTAGTTTGTTGTTTGGCGCATACTACCCTATGACTGTTTCGACTTCTTACCACATCTTCCCACACGTAAGAGACCAGTTATGCACCGTGGCTCGAGCCTCGAGTGCTCCGCATGCGTTGAATAGCTCGCATTTGAGAGAATCCCGGAATATTCGGAGATGGAAGATATATGATGTATGTTATTTTCCGAGGGGTGATAGGCCTAGGATGTTCTGATTCAACTTGGTATCAAGCGCAAATGTGCTCTAATCCATTTAGCCTTTTGACATTCCAACCAACCACGAGTCTCTGAATGATTCCAGACTCCATCTATCCATAAAATGTGCTCAAAAGTGAGCAGATCCCTTCAGGTGATTGGCGAGATGAACTAAAATGACTGGAATGATCATTCAACGTCCCTCGACAGGTACAAGGAGAATAAAGGAGGTATCCCGCTTTTAGTTCCGCAACAATCCAAAAGCAAACTTGTTCCAGACCTGCCGATCATACATTAGGTATCTCATCATATCTGTATTCCCTTGATCGTATATCGTAAGTATTGGTGTCACTCAATTTTCGGTCGCACAAGATGATGGACATGGAGGTGGCAGAAGGCACACCCTGGCTCGATCAGCCGGTGATGCTTCATTCATCTCGCGCCGACAAATGCAAATTGACTGAAACTCAATGTCTCTATCGCAACTATTCCTGGCGATACTGGTATGTACCTTTTTCCGAGTTACCTACATGTATATGTGCTTATCGAATATATGTGCCAGGTACCAAGCCGACCATGTTTATGCACTAAACACAATCTACTTCATGTGTGCGGTGATTGGAGTGTTCACAATCTCAAACTTGCTTGTACGACTCGCTCCAGATAGAGTGAAACGGACTAGACCATGGCGAATGTTCACTTCCGTCTCACGATACTTGTCTTATCGTGGATATCGATTGCCTGCGCTACGATATTGGTCTCCGGCACTGGGTGTGGTAATTCTGGGGACTGTTGGTGCTGTATTCTTCTTCGGTGAGTGACTTGGACTTGTGAAGATGTGTCAATTATGGTGGCTAACTTTTATATAGCGATGACACTCGGCCCACAACCTTACTACTGGCCGACGGATGCTTCTTATGGAAGTAGCCCTCCGATTGCGACTCGATCGGGCTGGATGGCTCTTGCATTGCTTCCGTTTGTACTGTGGGTATTGGATTCGGAGCATGCAATTCGGTTGCTGACATCCTCTTAGGGCACTGAGCACGAAAGCCAACATGATCTCTGGAGTGACTGGTATTCCGCATGAGAAACTTCAAGTGTTCCACCACTGGACTAGTTATGCGATGTTCGTGTTGGCCTTGATTCATACATTCCCGTATATCATATATCACATCAGAAAAGGGGACATGATGCATCAGTGGAAGACAAGTGTAGTCTACTGGACAGGAGTTGCGTCTCTCATCTCACAGACATATCTAACCCTCATGTCTTTGCCATTCATTCGGTAAGTCCACACCTAGCCTGTCTAGGAGACAAAAGTTTTAACAATTACACAGCAATAGATTCTATGAATTCTTCAAAGCCACGCACATCTTTGTGGCGGTAGTATTTATCGTGTTCTTCTTCCTTCACTGTGATTTTCGGCTCTCTTCCTGGTACGTTCGACGCCAAAGAGTGCCATGACGACCTTACGTTAACATATAGCAGGGACTACTTCATAGTCTCGGGCGTGATCTACTTCCTAAGCCTGATAGCCAGCCATACCCGTACTTATCTAATTCACGGGGTCCACAACGCAACCCTCGAACTCCTCCCCAGCGGTCTTGTCCGCGTGGCAGCCCCATCAATCATCAAATGGACCCCCGGCCAGCACGTATTCGTGCGCTTCCTCACATCAGACCTACACCTACTCACCGCCCATCCCTTCACCATCTCCTCCGCATGTCGCAATCCAGACGAAATAGGCAAAGCCTCAGAACTAATATTCTACATTAAACCACGCGGCGGTGTTACCGGGCGCCTTAGAGCAATGGCCGCCAAGGGTCCAGGCTGCACGAAGAATATCCTAATAGAGGGACCTTATGGCGGCGTCAGTGAACCCCACATGGCGCAATTCGACACGATCCTAGTGATAGCCGGCGGTTCGGGAGGTGGGTTCTCATTAGCCATGGTAGACGAAGCACTCCGGTTGACGGGGATGAACGCACCGGCAAGCGAGAAACGATCACCCCCCGGCGGAACCTCCAGGTCGTCTTCTCGACCCGTGACCACGCCATGGCAGATTGGTATATCGAGGAGATCGAATCACGGCTCTCAGAATCGACCATGGTATCCGCAGACTCGGACAACGGATTCGAGACTGCGGTGTCTGTGCATGTCACTGATCAACGGAGATCGAATATTTCCTCGACTTCGGAGTCGGACGATGTGAAGGGCACGACTGGCAAGGTGCCGCCGGCTGAGACCACTACCACGGGAAGTTTTAGTTTGAGTGTTCACCGCTATGCTCGGCCTGATATTCCTGGCCTCGTTGCACGCACTGTTGCGATGGCACATGTTCAAGGGACGCAGCTTGAGAAGAAACAGCGGGTTGGGGTTTTGGTTTGTGGTCCTGCTTCTATGCTGCATGATACTCGAAATGCAGCGGCTTTGGCGCAGGCCAGAGTGCTTAGGGGCGAGGTTGAGGAGCTGTATTTGCATTCTGAGCCTTTTGTGTAAGCCTTTGGTTTCCTTGCTACTTTATGACGATTGGCTAACTGGTTGCTATAGGTGGTGAGTGCTTTTTGATATGGAGTATTATCTGCTGGATTGATCTTGCTCTATTTCTCTTTTCTTCTACTAAAGTACCTATTTATTGCCCCCGAGTATATATCAATCTACCACCTAATTCCTGAGAAATAGTGATATCCAAAGAAAATCCAAGTTATTAACGGCCAAGACCCTCTAAACCAGTCTAAAGCCCGAGTCTTTACTAAATCCCAGGTGAATACACAGCAATCTAAGTATGAACTAGATAGTAGAGAAAGAGATACCCAAAATAATCACGGCCCAAATCATAAAACAAAGTCTGGGGATATGAAGCACCGAGGAAAAAGCCCGAAAAACAAAAACGCCGAGCATTAATCCCAGAGTGGAGAGATGAGGAAGAAACGTGAGATCAAAAGATCAATCACGAAATGCAAATCTAAACATTAAATGAAAACAAAATGAAGAGATCATCAGGTCATTAGCCCACCGAAATCTTACCTTCTACCTCCACAAGGAGCGTTGTCTTTCCTTTGATATCAAATCAAATACAAATTACTCTCCCCTCTCAACTCTCTTCATCAAAGAATCTCTCATCCGCACATTGACCACACCACCGACACCGTACGCAGGAACGATCTTCCCCATGCGCGCAAAGCAACTAGGCACATAATCGCGACGAATCCGCGCCACACGTTCAGTCCAATGCATACCACCGGCCGGCTGGCGATTATAAAGATCCAATCCGAGGAGGTGCATGGGCGTACTAGCGAACTGCATAGCAGCGGGACAAGCGAATTGCGCGATGCTGGATTTCATAGTTGGGCTTGAGGCGAGGAAGTCTGGGACCGAGGGCGCAATAAGGGCGGGGATATTGAAAGAAGCCCAGATGGTGATGCTGTCGCGGAGACAGAAGAGGCCGTAGGAGACTTTTGGTATTTGGAGGGTTGGTACTGTAGGTGCGGATGGAGGGCATGGTGCGCGGAGAGCAGAACCATACTTCCATGCGACTGGGTTTGTGTTCATGGTGCTGCTTCTAGCTGGCGATTCGGAGGGGGAGAGGCGCCAAACATTTTGGCGAAGCGCGCGTCTTTGTAGACGCAGATTGTCATGTTGACTATTGTTGTTGCGAAGAATTTGGGAAGGCCTGTGTCGATGGCATTGTAGGGCTGGTTGTGTGTTGTTGATCTGAGGGTGTCAATTGCGTTTGCTGTGAGGTAGGTTGATGTGTATAGGGTGTAGATGAGGAGGAATGGAGTGCTGAAGAAGAAGCCGCTGGGTCGAGCGACCATCGATCGAAGGCAGTTTTTGATTGTTTGGCTGATTGGGAAGCCTTTGGACGCTTTTTCCATGATTGCACTGGAGGGATTAGTCTTGTATTTGAATACGTATTTGACTGTAATTACCGATCAATGATGGTGATTAATGGGCAGGTCAGCGCACCCGCTGTTGCCGCGCTAGCGATATCGACACCGAGTCGCTTGCCCATATCCTTGGTATTCCATGTTGAAGCTGTCGGGCGTGTGCTGGCCTGTCGTTCCTGAGGCTGTTCCTGCTTTATTGTCGCCATTGTAAATATTGTATCTTGCGTAACAGCATCCCGATTCATACTCATATAGTTTGAAAAAGAGAGAGATTATGCATTGAGTAAAAGAGTACACAGATCAAATGAGAGGAATTGAATTACAAATGCGAGATCTGAATTATATCTACGGAGTACCCCAGCTTCGGACGAGAATGACCCGGGCGCGACCCGGCGCCGGCTCTCCGATGCCGGCCCGATAGCTTATCTGCCGGATAAACGCTCCAGGGCTGTTTATATTGTCTTCATTGTCAACATTGAAGATAAAATGAATATACAATGGAGTATAGGCTTGCTTCATTATACTCTTATTTTAAATTCCCCCAAACGCCAAATACAAAGATTTTAACTATCTAGCGAGCTTCAATACCATCCAGAGTGACATTGACCGCACCTGCTTGCACCAACTGAAAAAAAAAAGTTAGCAGAAATCCAAATTATGCAAGGGAGTCACATAATACATACCGCTCGTTGCAAGTCGTCAATCAAGTCATCCACATCCTCAATACCAACACACAACCGGATCAAGTCTTCAGGCATAGCACGTTCCGCCCGGGTCTTCGCGTCAATGCTAGCATGACTCATACGGCAAGGCATACTGATCAGACTGTTGACACAGCCAAAGCTGACACTGATAGCCCAAATCTTGGCGCTCTCCACAATGCGCTCGCTAATGGCCGTGTCACCAGTCTCGAACGAGAGGACAGCACCGGCGCCCCGCGCCATGGAATTGTGGAGTTCGTATTGCGGGTGGGACCGCAAACCGGGGTAGCGCACCTTGAAGCCATGCGATTCTAGGAACTCGGCAATACGTTGGGTATTGCTTTGCTGCTGGTCCATTCGGACCTTCAACGTCTTCACGCCGCGCAGTAATAGCCAAGAATCGAACGGTGACAGGCCGCATCCCGATGCGTTGATTGGGAAGTATAGGCGTTCTCCGAGCTGCAGGTCGTTCACGGCAATGACACCGGCCATCAGGTCGTGGTGACCGGAGAGGTACTTGGTGCCACTCTCGTAAACGACATCGGCGCCGAAATCTAGTGGGTTCAGAAGCAGAGGAGACATCATGGTGTTATCCACTGCGACAATGCAGGCGGGATTGGCTTCGTGAGCGGCGGTAGCAATTTTTCCGATATCGACGATCTTGATCAGGGGGTTTGTGGGGGTCTCGAGCAGCACCATGGTTGTCTTCGAGCTCAGCACCTGCTCGACCTTCTCAGGCTGTGTGGTGTCGACATGGTGCACAACGATTCCACCGTTGGTGGAGAGATACTTAAGCAGACGGTTGGTGCCGCCGTAGAGGTCGTCACCGGTAACCACCTCATCACCGGGGCGGAGAAGTCTTGTAATCACATCCAAGGCTGCCATGCCGGAGGACACCACCAGGGCGCGCTGTGCCGACATGATCTTGGCCAAGTGACGCTCAAGGTGTGTGCGAGTGGGGTTCCCGGACCGTGTATAGTCATATTCTCCACCGCCGGCGTTGGAAGTTTGTTTGAAGGTGGCACTCTTTAATGATTGAGTATGGTCAGCATTTAGATCCATTTGCAAGGACCATTTTGTCACCGAGATGGATCTGTACCTGATAGATAGGAACACTGCTGGCATTGTATTGGTCACTGCCCTCGGTGAAGACCAGCTCGGTGGCAATATTGTACCGGCGACCAGTATGAGGGCTGGACGGGGCAGGAGAAGGTGGAAGGTCATTGCCTGACAGGTCAACCTGAGGGAAACCCTTCTTTACACCGCTGGATGACCCCGAGGCATTGGGAATTCCAGAGGCCGACATCGCTGCGGGGCAGAGAGGGGAGAAAGAGAGTGTGTAGATGGTAATTGAGGGTATTGAAAGCAAATGGAGAATATGTAAGAAGCAAAAAGGGGGAACAGGAATAAAAATCAGAAGAAACCGAATCTCCAATCACTCACGTCTTTCCCCCCCCCAGACAAGCTGACTCGTCCGAGTCGACGCTGATTCGTCGATCCACGGCCATTGCGATTTCGTCATCCACTAGTCCCGATTAGGCATGCAAGTATGTGGAGTTTTATGAGTCAACAATTTACTTATGTTTATGAATTTATATGGATTAGAATATGGATTAGAATATGGATTAGAATATGGATTAGAATATGGATTAGAATATGGATTAGAATATGGATTAGAATATGGATTAGAATATGGATTAGAATATGGATTAGAATATGGATTAAAATACAATTTGTAAGGAGATTTGTAGATCGCGGAATATATAGACTGTGGAACGTTGAATATGTTATTATATCCAGTATTGGTTTGTATATACTTTGTACATCTCAAGAGTTCTTTGTTGCACATTCTAGGATTTTTTATATTCCTAGCAAAGAAATATATCGATGTATGCTCTTGAGAAAGTCGCAAATTTTCGTTAGTCATCGACTCGGCTCTCCAGGGCTCTGCCCAGGGGGACTGCCAAGCCTTTCACTCATCTCAGTCTACATATCTAATTGCACTTGTCCTTTACCCTCTAATTAGACACCTACATGGAGTTTGAAATCTGGAAAAAATACCCAAGGACCTTCAATACCTTAGCTAGAGAGGAGCAACAAAGATGGCATCCGAATCGGAATCGGCATTTGCCTATCACGAACCATCAATCAAAACAGTCCTCAACTACACCGGATTTCTTTTGACCCTGAACATAGCCAACACCTGCCTGGACAGACTCCTCTACTGTGGGTTAATCGGCCAACTCTTCATCGGTGTCTTGTGGGGCACCCCCGGGGCACAATGGTTTGATCAAGAGACAGAACGAGTGGTCCAGCAGATTGGGTATTTAGGCCTGATACTCTTGATCTATGAAGGTAAATCACTCGTATACCTTTCTCTTTCCTTGTTGGACAGATTCTCTTACAATAAACAGGCGGTCTGTCAACTTCAACCAAGTCCTTGAAGGCAAACATCCTTCTTTCGACAGCCGTTGCTATCACTGGAATCTGTGTCCCAATGGGGTTGTCATTCATTCTCAAGGAACTTCTATCGGCGACTTTTCTTCAGTCCTTCGCAGCTGGTGCAGCCCTGAGCGCAACTAGTCTCGGCACCACATTTACCATACTCTCAACCACCCAGCTAACAACTACAAGGCTCGGCATAGTCACCACTAGTGCTGCAATGCTAGACGATGTGCTCGGTCTGGTCATGGTTCAGATTATTTCTAATCTTGGAAGTACCGACTCATTCAGTGCTGTAAATGTAATTCGACCTGCTTTGGTTTCCATTGGTTTCGCTGTTGGTCTTCTATTGTTGTGTGCATTCTGTCTACATCCAGGATTCAAGAAATTGCTTGGCTGCAAAGACAAGTTCCCAGCTTCTGTGGGGACTGCACAATTTGCTTTCCTTGCACAGACATGTGTGTTAGTTGGGATCGTGGCTGGTGCAACGTATGCTGGAACTTCGAGTCTCTTTGCTGCCTACCTTGCTGGGGTGATTGTCTCTTGGTTTGATGGGCTAGTAGCTGAGACGAAAACATCAATTGCTGGCTCACAGTCTAGTGACTCTCATGAGCAGACTCCCAACCACCAAGGAAGCACGCGGAATAGCAAGAACTGGCGTACTGAAGAGACACACTCTCCACGTGTGCAAACCCAGGAAACAGAAATAACCCATGATGATATACCTACGGGCGAACTCATCTACAGCAAATATTATAAAGCGCCGGTTAACCGACTTCTTCTCCCTTTTTTCTTTGTGAGTCCTTACATTCAATCTAAGAAGGGACGTATTAACATCAGCAGGCATCCATCGGATTCGCAATTCCCATCACCAAAATGTTCTCAGGCCAGGTTGTATGGCGTGGGATTATCTACGCCATGCTGATGGCAATTGGAAAAATGATCACAGGCCTGTGGCTCGTTCGATTCTCTCCGAGCCCTGTGTCGGGGCTAGTCTCTACCATTAAGAAACCGTTTACATACGTTCATTCCTACTGTGCGAATCCTCAGCCCATCAGCAGAAACTCGAACCAAAGCAAGAAAGCCCCACAAAGACTAGCAACTCAAGATGACAGCGCAGAAGTTTCAACCCTGGATAATGCTAGAAATGAGTCTTGGCCAACAAACAGATCTCCTGCACTCACTTCTCGCCCCGGTTCCCGCATTTCCCTCCCCCCAAACCCAAGTCCTTGTATCCGCCTGCTATACTGGGATTGGCAATGATTGCCCGAGGCGAAGTGGGATACCTCATTGCTTCAATTGCCGAAAGCAAGGGGATGTTCTCTAATGAATCTTCCGAAGGACCGTCTGAGATCTATCTAGTGGTCATCTGGGCAATCTCGCTCTGTACATTGATCGGTCCGATCTTGGTTGGGACTCTGGTCAGGCGTGTAAAGAAGCTGCAACAGTTAAAGGTAGATATGGGGGCTGATCCTTTGGGGGCCTATGGCATTTAGTTACCTCGGATACAGTGATGACCGTGCTATATTCAAGTTCAAAAACTATACCCATACATACGTAGACAACAATCCTTATCTTAATGATCCTAATATACACAAACACAGCCGTTCAGCCACCCATCTCCATAATCTCACCATGCTTGATATGAGTCATGGCGCCCCGGGAAAATGGGGTCCTTCTTGTCAAAAGCAGCCAGCCTTCTTGCGCTCGGCAGGCGCCCAATATGTGATGTCCTTCGAATCACCACCCAGGCGCCCATCATTGTTCCTCTTCAGCTTTGCTAATGCCTTTCGCCAGCCCCGGGGATCATTGGCATCAGCGGTAGCCTCGGGAAGGTCAACCGTCGGGTTTAAAAGGCTTGAAATAAGTTGACAGGTGGGTTATTTACTGTGATAAGACGCGACTTGACGCGTCGCGGGCCGGGATATGAGATGCATCGCTTCCTTATTTTTAATTATTTTTAATCTGGCTTAATGCTATAGGCTTATGCTTGGATAAAGTAGAATAATATAGATATATGTGAATACCAGCAATTGAAAATTGTATATACTCCCAATCCCAACTCCCTCAGGATGCCAGTCCATGAAGTTTTCCCAATATAACCCAAATCAGAGATAACAGAAGACGCAAGAGAATAATCAAAAAGATTACCAACCTCATCCATGGATATTCATAAACCAGATCGTCCCTAAGACAGAACAGACGATCCCACACCAAACGCCGCCGCACCCACCTCGCCTCAAAAGCAATCCGTTTTGAGACCGGAAAAAGAAAAGCTCCAAAAGATGAAAGTATATACCAGCATAACAAGTAGATTAGGGTCTGCAAAGGAACTCCGGGTGTACTTTGTAGGTGTAATTTATACTCCAAGCCCCCAAAGTCCACTCTCGACAGGTAAAGCGTAACAACATAAACATGAAGCGTAACTAGTCTAGATCGTGGTTGTTTATGCAGCCAGATCGCCGAAACCGCCGTTGATGCCAAAGAACTGGAACCTGTTGCGCATTAGCAAAATAATATTATATAAAACCACAAAACCACAAGGCGTTTGCGAGACATACCAGTCCTCGACATTCAGCGTTGTTGGAGCAGTCGGCCCGCTACGGGAACTACTACTCCAGGTATCATTGTCCTGGCTAGCAGCGTCCATTGCAGCTCCACTCATAGTGCCGTCGAGACCGTGCATGGGCGGCCACGCTTGCTGGTGCTGGCCCTCCATGCCAAACATCTGTTGCGGCGGGTTGGGATGCATTCCCATCGCGCCCGGCAGTCCCGACATTACCGGTGGACTACCATGGGAGACAGACATGCTACGGCCCGAGACGGGCTGCGGCTGGTTGTTCATCATGGGATTAGGGCGCGGGGTCATGCCCGGGGGCATTTGGGATGGGATCTGGAGGGACGGGTCCACTGCAGCAGGCTGGGGTGGCGATGTCAACTCCGGAAAGAAGGCGGTGCCGTCTGGAAAGAGTTGATCGGGCTGGAAGTTCTCCCAGAGGGAGGGGGAGAGGTTGGGCGAGGTGCGGGTTACTAGGAAGAAATCGGGGGGTGTGGCTGGTAAAGAGAATTGGCCATTGAACGGGGTTGTAGGCCTGGTGTTGGCTCGGGAATTACCCGTTCCGGTCATTGGATCGTGAGGAGCGCGGTGGTTGTTTGGTGATTGTTGACCACCGGGAGGGGGTTGGTTCAATTCCCGAGAGGGGGTGACAGCGGGTGTCTGGGGCCGGGAGCGCTCATATGACACAGGGGGCGTAGGCCCGCCATTTGGCATGCCGATGTCCATATCATCGAATTTGCGTTTTGGCGGGTCGTGCCTCTTGGAGGAAGATGATTCTCCATGCCGTGTACGCTGATGTCTCCGGCCTGCAGCTTTCTGGAGTCGTTCTTCCAACACCTTGTTTCCGAGGATAGACTCGAACAAGGTGTTCACCATCTTTGCCACCAGCCAGACCTTTGATACATCCTTGAGGGCTAGCATGCAGACGTTGATTCTTTCCTGGCAGGTGGCCACGATCGAAGGAACCGAGGAACGCATTTGGTACACGTGCATAATCAAGGCAGAGAATAAACTGTAGACAATGAAGGCTGGCGTGTACCGGATCTCCCCATGCGCCTGTAGGTTTTCGACAATAGAGGTGATCATGCCTGCAGCTTGGAAGGCAATTGTTCGCGACGGATAAGCCATTTCTTCGACCCTGTAGTTATTGGGCGCGGACGAGGCAGGCGGCATATGAGCCCTGTGAAGAAGACAGAGCGTAGTGTAATAATTAGAGTGCAAGAGAGCTGCCCAGAAATGATGCCTAGAGCGTTGCCAGCATACTTCTTTAGGACAGTTTTGCAGCCAATCGGCGAGGGCCATGTCTGAGTGGGTGAGATCCATTGCATTCATACGTCGTGACTTCGAAGCCACAGAGTACTGCTGTGACAAAACCAAGCCCATGATCTCGCACAGCTTGACATACTGCAGGAAGAATTGGACATGGACAGGATCTGATGGGTATTCGGCGACAATGTCGAGCTCATCCTCGATGAAATCGTCCTCCGTCACCATCTCAACATCCGAGTCATCTGTATTGATTCCAATCGGTCGCCCCAGTGCGACAGCGACAGAGCGATCCCGGGTAAACAGGGTCCACCAGATTCTCTTCCAGAGTCGTTTGTCTGGTTTATTAAGCTGGGACATTTCGACGCTGCGGTGCATTCCAGAACCCTGAGCTACCACCATAGCGACCCGTGTCCAGTAGAAGACGTTCTTGGTGACATCTGTAACTAGTCAGAAAAGCCATTAGGATAGACTAATATGGATTGGGAACTCACCTTCCGGTCCCTCCCAGTACCAACCCAAAAGCACCAATGCCTGCACGATAGTCACACGGTCATCCTCGTAGTTAGCATCGTACAACGCCTTGGCACGCTTGTAGAAAGTCATGGCCGCAGGGGTTGTCGAGCCATTCGCATCCATAAGCTGCTGGTTAGTGCAGACTCTCGACCCTGCCAGCAAAATTGCCTGCAGCAGCAGTAACGAGGGCGGGTTCTTGGGATCACGGTAGTGACGCATAAAGCGACTCTTGTTGATAATCGGCACGACGGGCGCCACCCATTTGAAGTAGGCGTCAACCAGTTCATCACACAGCGGTTTGGGCGGGAGCAGGAATGCGCCTCGCTGATGCAGGATATCAATTTCCAAGTTGTCCAGGTCCGTTAACCGGGCGCGGGATCCTCTGATATTTGGTGGGAGTGGATAATGCACGACATCTGTTGTTCCATGGCGGTCTTGGACCAGAAGAGACAGATTCGACGACTCGCCCAAGTACGCCACCCGGCCAGCCTCTTTTATCGGAGCACGGGCAAACTTGGGCTTCATGAATTGGGCATAGGCGTTATCGGCCGAAGCTTGTTGAGCGGCCTCCGCGTCGGAGAGGGAGGTATTGGGCATGCCGTCGACGCCCATGCGGTTGTTCGGGTATCCAAAGGCATCGTTCTTTTCATCCGAGTCTGAACTTTTCTCCTTTTCCCTAGACGCAGAGATAGAGCCGGATATCGAACCGGCTGGCTCCTCAGTACTCGTGGGTCGGAAGTGAGCAACCGCAGCATCTACAATTGAGGAGGCAGTTTGCGGTGGACTGTCGTCATACTGATTATCTTCCTTGCTCTTGTTCTGATTGTTCTTCTTTCGTTTTGGAGATGGGATCTTGCACTCGATAGAGAAAGCGACACAATTGGTGCAAGGCACTCCGAGACTGGCTGCATCACATCGAACCTAGGCGACGGGAACAGGTTAGAATGTACAGAAAAAAAAAAGGTGCGACCGAGGACAAACTCACCTTGCGAGCATGACATGTCTAATTGAGTCAAAGAAGAAATGTCAGCCACATTTTGTCCAAATCCAAGACCAAAGGGGGAGAGAAATGTATCGCGATAAGGAACTGAGCCGAGGTGCGTAAGAACCTCGGCCCCAGAGTCGCGTCTCCCTAAAAATCCAGACGTACCTCGCACGCGCGTGATGCACGTTGTCTAAGATTAGATAAAACGAATTAGCAAGCGCATAAGAATGCTTAACTGGAAGAGTTTTCCTTCAGATACAGGGGATTCGAAAAGCCGAAAAACCCCTGTCTCTCAACTTTGCGCCCGCACACTCCCCACAAATCAGACCAGAACACCATCTCGCCAATATCAAAGAACTAAAGCAGAACTGGCTTACCTTCTGAAACTCAGCGGTTGGCCTTGTGGACCGTTGCGCACCGTAATGCCCGAAGTCCCCGTCGAGCCCGCGTTGCTCGGAGCTGGGCTGGGATGGTCCGATAGCTGGTCGGTGTGGAATTCAGTGGTACTCATGGCCACACAATCTCACCATCCAGGAATCGGTAGACTTCGAAGAAGGGATGCGCTCGGAGAGGAGGGGGGGGGGGGGGGAAGCAATATGATATAAAAAAGGGTGTTAAGGCCCACGGGGTATGGGGTACGGAGTACGGAGTATAAAGGGTTAAGAAAGGGGATCTCTCACAGCAAAGACGCCACGCGATCACCAGAAAATTAAGGAAAAAAAAGTACCGGGGAGGGGGAAGAGAGAGAGAGAGAGAGGAATATCGAAGGTGAAGTTGGGGTTGTGGCAATATCATATTGGTGGAGTTGCTATTTGGTCAGCATTTACTCCGTAGTATTTATGCATTTTGGTATATTATATTCTATTCTATATGGAATATTCTCTTTATTTTCTATTCTATGAAAAAAGGGGTAAAAGGTAACTAATGGCGCAGGGGGTTCAGACCCAAAGCGCTAATAGTGTAAGAAAGCCAGAACGGGGCGAGAAATAGAGATCAGGGAGACCAGTAATGAAAAATAATGCCAATAACAATCCAGACGCTGACCCTAATTCAGGTCCACTGCGTGGAAATACCATTCAGCCTCCAATTTTGGGTTCATCCCGAAAGATTTTGGGGCCATAACGTTCCAAGTAGATAGAAATGACAGAGTCTGTCTGAGACAAATATATTCGACGGGATGTGCGGATGTATATGCAGTGTGACCTGCCCACTGGCCATAGGGGGTTTTTTTTTGCATGTGTTCCGTTTCAGACATGTTAATCTAAAAGGAAAAGGTTTAGATCTCCTTCGAAGTCAAGATTGCGGAGAAAAGAAAAAAAAGGAAGTTGCGGGGGGAATTTCATCTCTGTACTCCATACTCTCTCTCTCTCCATTATACGTATAGATTCTTCAGCTTGTGATGCCTCGGCAACTTGGAGCTTTGACCAATGAGAGTGTTTTGGTTTCGAGAACACGGTTCTTAGGCCCTTCACCGGACATCCCCGGAATTGTAGAAAGTGAGACAGTTTGAGTATAATAAAAATACAATGGAAAATATGAATATAGCCTGTATAGTACATTATAACATATTTCAACTATGACCACCCATTCTTTCCTGATTTACCCTTATTCTTACCCTTGGACTTGGATTTGGACTTGGACTGGGCTTTCTTCGGCTCCTTGTCCTCGTGGCCACACTCGGTGATCTCTTCGATGGTCTGGACTACAGCCTCAACGGCTGTCACCGTGGGGGCAAAGTCCACACCGCTGACAAATTGCTCGCTGAGGAACTCTAGACCCGCCACGAAGGTGCAGAGGGCACTTGCAATACAGAAATGACTAATGGTCATTCCAATGTCTAGCCACGAGCCCTCGTCGCGTACCATGAAGAAGAAGTTGAGGGTCATGATGTCCGAGATGGCCATGACAACCATAAAGAGCGCGCTGGGGGGTACCTCTAGGCGGCGGTTCAGGATACCCAAATTGGCACTGATAATGGCAAAGGGGATGAGGATTTGGAGGATCAAGAGCGCGCCTTGGGCGAATGGATCGAAGACGGGGATAAGGCGACGAACGCTGTCGAGGGAGAAGGTCGAGATCGAGGCCACATTGCCGGTGCTGAAGAAAGCCGATTGTAGAAGGAAAAAGAAGAAGAGTGCCACGCGGACATCGGAGAGAGTAAGGGCACGGTAGTAGAAAATTTCACCGTCAACGGTCGTCACGCCGGGATTCTTAGGTTTCTTTAAGGTGCCTGCTGTGTGGACGTAAATGGCATGTTCCAGGCGAACCCATGTTACAATGGTCATGCAGAATACGAAATAGAACAGCCCTTCCCATGAGATTGTGAGAATGATAAAGGTTGGTGAGAAGGTCAAGAAGATGATCATGAGCCGGTGCAGATAGTGGCTGTTTGGATACAGACGGTGGAAGAATGGAAGCGTCAGGGAAGCCACTGAAAATTGGTTAGCATTTCTCGGTGAAGACATCTTTCCGTCCTAGGACGAACTGCCGTGTAAACTTACCTAGAACAACCCATCCAACCACGATATTGCCAAACGGCAGGCCTTGGCGGGCCTGGAGAGAGAGCACAGATGACCTGGTGACGATGACAGCAAGCAGGACCATGCCAAGCTGAATTCCCATGATGATCCGCGAGCCCACACGACCAATAGCATTCGGTTCTTTGGATTCCGGGTCACGATGTCCGATGATAGCATCCTCAAACAGCAAATACAAGATGCCAGTGAGGAACATGAGCAAGCCGCCATAAGTGCTGCGAGAAAAAAAAAGATTAGCCACGTAAAAGCCATTGCTGTAGAAAGGGAGCTTACATAGTATCAAGGTTTTCAACCTTGATTACTGGCAGAAGAGTGAACGAACTCATCAGGCCGCAACCGAGAGCCCAAGTCGCAGACAATAACGTATGGCTGCGAATGAAGCTAAAGCCATGGATGACGGGCCACAACGCACCCAAGGCAAAGCAGACGGTAAAGATTTCGCGATGGAAATATGATTGAACCATTGCCTCCATCACACCGAGGAATGCCAGTAGCTGAAGTCCAAACTTGAGGTATCCAGTGAAAGAGCACACATGGCCCAAGACAATCTGACGACCGGCAATCAGAGCCTTACGGCGTGCAAAAACCTCTTCCCAGAAATAAACCGGGAAGAATGCATAGAAATAGTAGCGCCAGGATGAGCCCTGATAAAGGAACACCGAGAACAAGGCGACCAGGATGGACGAGAAGAATGAAATACTCGCCGTCGTCCGGTGGGAGTCTGATGTTCCATGCAAGACGTGCAGATCAATAACCGTGGTCAGCGCATACGCGATCCAACCTAGGTATCCAACAGAGACAATGGTCCGCAAGAATAGCCAGTCATAGGTTTGTAAATAGCGCAGACCCTCAAGAGCAACGCGAAGAAGCTCAGCAGACACCACAATAGCCTCCTCATGGTCACCCCTGGAGATGAGTGCCTCGATTTTTGCCAGTCGGCCTTCAATTGAGTTCTCGTGGTAGCCCGATAGAGGCTCATAGGGCACATACCGGATCACCGCGTCTCGCTTTTGTTCTTCTTTGACGCGGTACATCTCCAGAACCCCCTGGGTGTTGGCGAGAGCAGCCAGCGCCTTTTCCTTGGGGCTAGCATTGAGGTAGTCCAGCGGCAATTGACCAACGGAGTTGACGGGGAAGTCAAGACCGACTAGGTAGGCCATGAGCGCGGCAACATCGGCTTGTGCTACATCGTGTCGGCGGACCTGGTCGAATCCCCAATCCGCCGAGAAACCATCTTCGTGGCCCGCGGCAATTCCGCCAGCGGAGAGCTGGGGCCGCGCGACGCCAGATCCCCAGACAACCAACGGTGTCCGAGTATTATCCGGATGACCATCACCATGGCTGCCCGTGTCACTCATACCATGGTCTGCGGTGAACACGAACGCCGTTTTGTCATCTCCGTAGAAATCCTCCACCAACTTTGTGACTGCCTGGACTCCTTGATCCACTACCTTGATGTTGTGTAGGTATTCGTTCGAATAGGGCCGGAAAGAGTGGCCAGTGGTATCCAGTCCAAGCAGGTGAAGGAAGAACACCAATTTGTCGTCTCGTAGTTTTCGGTCCAAGCCCGGGTCGGTCTTTGCCGACTCGAAGAGGTCGTGGACTTTGGAGAAGACCCAAGTATCCAGATGCGTCGCATCGACGGTGAAGTCCTCTGCTTCTTCACTGTACATCTCCGTATCGACTTTGCCCGGTACGGCGCCCTCCTTGAACATTGGTAGGATATCAGGGCTGCCCCAGCTCCAAGTGTGTCGGCTCTGGTTGAAAACACTGTCAAAATTCACCGGGTTCATCTTCCATCCTGTGGTGACGGAGGACACGTCCTCATAGAGACCTGCGATAAGCGCAACATGGCCTGGTCGTGATTCGGTGGGGACGCGGGTATGTGAGACACCGAATGTTCCATGGGAGAGGACTTGCGAGCGAATAAAGGGAGACAGGCGAATCAATTCGTTGTTTTCTGGATCGGCGTCGGGAGACGGGTCAGGGAAAGCTTGGAAGGCCTTGTCGGCTCTTAGACCATCGGCGACAAAGAGGACGAGACGTTTGGCAGGTGCGGGGGCTCCGGATGATCGCTCGACACCATATGATCGCATGCCACTAACAATTGGACTGACGAAGTAGATGTCAAAGATTGAGTATGTATAGATCAAGTGGAAGATCACTGCGAGGGCGAGAAACCCGACGCGGCCTAGACGCGCCATGATCTATGTCTGAATACTCAGGTGTTAAAAGAGTGGAAGTGGTCCACTGCCACAAAGGTAGGGAAATTCACAAAAAAAAAAAAGGAGATATGAAGGTCACAACACGTCAACCCGTCAACTTTGGAGATGCATTGGGGAACTTGGCGGTGAGAGCCAATCACAAGCCTAGTTTGATTTACTCTACATATAGTTGTATTTTGGTTTTTCTTTCCCTGTTGAAGTTCTGCTCTATCTTAACAAAGCTGGAAAAAATAGATATTGAGATGAAGCTATCGAATATACAGATATAGAAATACATGTGCTTATACAGTTGGTGTGGGGGGTTATGTTGTATACCTCTGAATGACCTCAATTCAAACCTCAGTATCAACAGACTATTGGGGCTATAGAATGTGGCGACGAGATCGGCGAGAACTTGAGCTGCCTTGGATATGTTTTGATTGTTGAAGGAGCACGCTGCGAAGCGTGTTTCACCGGGCAAAGGTCCCACTAGCAGACGCTTACCACTAAGTACAACGTAAGTATACAAGTACGCAAGTCTATAACAACATTGGAAGGTATATTTGCTGAAATTGATGTTATTGATCATCGAAACAAAAAGAAACATAACGTTCCCAGCTCCCGAACAAACTCCATGGAAATGAACAGATTCCGAAAAAAAACCATAAACACCAAGGACTGGCATTCAGTATCAGTACTGCTATTGCGCTGGAAGAGACCGACGCTTTGTGAGGGCATCAATGACGCGCGTATAAAATTTGGCTGCTTGTCCGCGGACGAAGGTGATATCCACGGTCAAGAAGTCTGGTAGCAAGTTGACCAGGTCGCGATCGCGGTTAGGGTCTAAGTGAGGCAGGTATTGGAACTCGGTTTTGTCATAATCAGCGGAGACCTTTGGCACGACAAGATGGAAGTGAAGAGCTGCAAAGAGGTTAGAAAAATGTCCCCAATTTTTAGGAAATTGAGCAACTTACTTCCGTTGATTCCAGTCTGGATACAATCGTATAAGTAATCTGACTCCCTGTTCTTGACATCACGAACGATCAATCCGGTTAAATCGCTATATAAGTCTTCTTTTAATTGGGCGAGCTGTGAAGCCTGCGCCGCTTCAGCGGTGGCAAGTGCATTAGCACGGTTAGCGGCGCCGCCCTTGATGGCACTGCCGGGAACCTTCGCAGCTCCCTCGAGACTGGCAGCTGTGTTTCGTGCCGCAGCAAGCTTGGTCTGTAAAGCTTTGACCTCAGACTGAGCAGACGCAAGCTGTGCTCGTGCCTCATTGCCGCTAGATGTGAGTCGAGCTAATTCATCATCACGTTCTTTGAGTTGTTTCTGGAGTCCACGGCTCTGTAGTCCTAGCTTTCGCTGAGCATCAATTTCGGACTTGAGCGAGGCAACCAATTCATTCGATGCTGAGGATGTATTAATTCATCTGCTCTAGTGGCTACAAGACAATAGAAGAGCATACCTGTAGTGACAGCTTCACTCTGCTTTCGCAGTTTCTCCATGTTGGTGTTGGCTTCGACAATCCCAATCTCCCGTAAATTGCGGTATTTACTCTCCAAAGAATCATACTTCTTGGTCAGTTCTCCCAGCCTGCGCCTCAGCTCTGGGTCTCCCTGCTCGGAGTCGGTGCCCCCAAGCTTGCGTTTACGAGGAGAAGAATCCTGTGAGTTGCGTAACATAGATAACCGAGAACGAGCGTTCTTCGCGGGGGACATCGATTTGGGATTATAGGCCGGTTCCTCGTGAATGATAGCCCCATCCACGAGCTCTGCGGGTTGCTCAGTCTGCTGAGAATCTTCGACCTCAGGTTCGTTTCTTCCCTGGCTCGCTGCACGAGCAAGAGGGCTCGGGTCGGCTTGCTCTATGTGGGTTTCCTGGAAACTAACGTGCCGAGAGCCGCTTGGGGTAAACTGAAATTCACCATCTGTTTGGAGCTGTGTACTGACCGCACGAGGCCGTCCCCGACCGCGTGCTGGGGCAGCCTTCGTGGTCTCGGGCGGCTGCTTCTTTGTATTTCTTGAGACACGTGGGTCTTCATTCTCCTGGTTGTCTGCATCGTCTTGTTCGGGCATCATAGCCTCCACCTTGGTTGCCTGTATAGACGTTTCCGCGTCTTGCGCTGCACGGCTGCTTCCTCTGGGTCGCCCTCGGCGGGCGGGCTTTTTGTCTGCAGGGGGTTCTGGCTCAGCCGCAGCCGCAGCTGCTTGCTGCTTTCTTGTTCGGGTAGCAGGTTTGGTAGGTTTGGTTTCGATCACATTCTCGTTTGAGGTACGCGGTCTGCCTCTTTGTCTTTTGGCGGGAGGCTCGTGGGTTTCTTGTTCTTCTGTTGCTTCGACTTGCATGATGTCCTCATCGTCTGAGCCCAATAGACCAGAAATTTTGGGAGGAGCTTTCCGTTTGGGCATTGTGCAGGTGTGCCTAGGTATTCTTTGATGGCAATTGCATACTCGCGGGACGCGCACCGACAACAACACCCCTAACACCGCCTTCTCCGCCTTATGACATGTGACTGGCATCCCCGAGTCCCGCGCCACAAGCCCGAACGATATTCGATTCTTGTTTTAATCCTGGTGGACTTACTTTTTATTTATCTTTAATTGTCGCTTTCACCTAGAGGCTCTTATTTGCGCCATCACCGGATTCTATCTAATCATCCCCTTATCGCCATGGCTTCAGCCGGTGGCCGAAGATGGCAGCAGTTCTTCCAAGAAATGGTGATGGTTGCAGGCACTGTAAGAAACTTCTTGTTGCAGATAGGACTGAATGTTTCTAACACTACTACAGTCTGCATCTGCATATTTCCTCATTCGCTACCTTCTATCTCGCCTTGATTTCGACCCAGAGAGCCAGAAGAAGGAGGAACAGCGACAGAAGTCCGCCGCCATTATACGTCGATTGGAAGGCGTGAATGAATCAGACGATGAAGTGCCACGGAAGGGCGGCAAACGGGAGAAAGGACAACGAAAGAAAGAGCTCACATTGAACCAATACGAACAAGCGATTGCGATGGATGTTGTTGCGCCGGAGGATATCCCAGTGTCATTTGAAGATATCGGGGGACTTGATGAAATCATTGAGGAATTGAAGGAATCGGTTATTTACCCACTGACGATGCCTCACCTCTACGCTTCCACATCGTCTTTGTTGACCGCACCTTCAGGTGTCCTCCTATACGGTCCGCCTGGCTGCGGAAAGACCATGCTTGCCAAAGCTCTAGCATCAGAGAGTGGGGCATGCTTCATCAACTTGCACATCTCAACGTTGACAGAGAAGTGGTACGGCGACTCCAATAAATTGGTCAATGCAGTGTTCTCGCTTGCGCGTAAGTTGCAACCTGCCATCGTCTTCATTGATGAGATTGATGCTGTTCTTGGAACCCGGCGAAGTGGTGAGCATGAAGCAAGTGGTATGGTGAAGGCAGAGTTCATGACTCATTGGGATGGTCTTACATCGGCGAATTCGACGGGAGAGCCCCAGCGGATTGTTGTCCTAGGAGCGACCAACCGCATTCAAGATATTGATGAGGCGATTCTCCGAAGAATGCCCAAGAAGTTCCCCGTGACCCTTCCTCCAATTGCCCAGCGCCTTCGCATTCTCAGCCTGATTCTCAAAGACACGAAAGTTGATCGTGATAATTTCGATCTGCACTATCTGGTCAAAACTATGGCCGGTATGTCTGGTAGCGATATCAAGGAAGCATGTCGAGACGCAGCAATGGTTCCTGTACGGGAGCTTATTCGAGCCAAAAAGGCCAGCGGGATGCAAATGGATGCAATGGATCCCCAAGAAGTTCGTGGTCTTCGGACGGAAGATTTCTTCTCTCGCGCCGGTGGTATCAAAGTTATTCCTCAGCCTGCTCCGTTATCCACCCCAACCAGCAAAGTCTCCGAGAAGGAGGATGGAGACTGGAGTACTGCCTCTGAAGCCACATCGGAAGCTGAGACTCGACACTCTGTGATGGCTGAGCCGCCAGAGTGAATGTGAGGCACTTCGCCTTGTTGATATTTATTCTCCCCTTGTCCCGCAGCGCGAAGACTTGGCGTAATCTACTGGAAATGCTTCCGGATTTAGTGAATGGCTATTTAGTCTTGGGTTTTATGGATATTTTGTTCTAGTATGGCTGGCTTGTTGATAGAATTTCTGATGTCATATGTACAATGGGTTCGGATACAATCTAATACAAATCTTGCTCTCGAATTGGTCACTTGTATTCCTATTCTATTTGATGGCAATTTTATATATACGTGTGGAGAAGGTATCCCCGGGGCCGACAAAGTACCGGGTACACAGAATAGGTGGCCTTCACCGGGCAACGTCATGTACCGCTACTTTGCCGAGCGGCAAAGTCACCTGAGAACAAACTTGTTAATATTGTCCGTTAAGCATTCTGTTTGTCTGTACAGACAAAAAAAATAACAATACTATCTCTTAATTAATATAATTCTTGTAATTCCTGTGATCAATCTTGCCTTTTAACTACTTCGTACTCCACGTTCAAAGGTTTGCGGGTCGTTATCGTCACGCCTCCTTGGCCTCCTATCGCCTATCCTCCCTCAACTCTCCTGTTTTCCATACCTTCCAAAGGGTTTGTGTTGGAACTCTTTACCTTATATTTTGGAATACCTGAATATATGATCAAAACGTTTCCTGCCCGTGTTCCCAATCAAAAGGCCACGAATGCTAGTCCGGGGGTGGATGACGAATGGGTCTCTCCTAGATCAACTCTGATGGCAACTGGTGCCTTGGCGGTACACACTTCTAAGGGGGCTTTTGTTTTGCATCCTTAGACCCATTTACTGGATTTTACAGGAATGAGTTCTCAAAATAGCTTTGACAATGCTTCCCCAAGCTCCAACGCACTCAGCGCAAGCACAACTTCGACCTCCACGATTCGATCACGCCCTCGCCGCTTAGTTTCATTCATGGACGACGAAGACGACAATAATGTTACAAACTCCTACCAGGACGACCCCCAACCCTTTTCCTCGGGATTGTCAACGACTCTTGCTCCCTCGGAGAGGGGAACGACTCGGTCCCGCGGAGCGACTCCCTCGCCATTGTCATCCCGTGGAGCGTCACCACTTCCAATGAAGCACCCGTCACGCGCGACCGAATCGATCAACCGTGGTACTCGGAGTGGGCCAACATCGTTTCCTTGGAGTGGATCATCAAAGGCCTCGTCGTCGGGAGGTGCTGCGGACTTTCTGGACTCCTCGTGGTCCTCTCTTCAAAGCTTGGCATCTTCAGTACTGGGGAGTGATGCTGGACGAGTCGCTCCAAATAATGTGGCAAAAACACACACGCGAAGGAAACCGTCTCGGTCTGACGTATATATCAAGAGTACCCCCAGGTCGGCGTGGGGTCCATCCGCACCGACCGCTCCGCAGTTCGGGACTGGGACAAAGGAGGAGCGGCAGGCTTTGGTGCAGGCCAAAAAGAGAGAAGCGCTGCTCCTCGCTGATAGTGATCCGATCGCAAGCCGTACGCTCCCTCACAAAAGACGCGATTCTGGCGACATTTCATACCAAGCGTTTGAGCCGGAGCATGATGAAGACGCTCTGGCCTATATCCACAAAGTGCAACCCACAGACACCATCACCGGCGTGACGATCAAATATGGCTGCCAGGCTGCAGTGTTTCGGAAGGCGAACGGTTTCTGGCCCAACGACAACATTCAGAGCAGAAACACTGTTCTCCTACCAGTCGATGCATGCTCCGTGAAAGGCCGACCTGTTCCCAAAGAGCCTATTGATCTTTTGAGCAACAATGACGAAGACCCCAGCGACAGCTCGATCGCCCCCATTGCTGCCTCTACCGATGATACCTCGACTGAGCAGGGTACGTCTGCAACCGCAGCTGGGGTCGATGGAAATCATGCTTGGAAGCACGAATCATGGGTGCACATGGATGGGTTTCCCGGATTAGTGCAAATTGGCCGTGTTCCTCGAAGAGCATTGGGATTCTTTCCACGTACACGTCGAAAATCTATATCTTATTCGGATGCAGAACCTCCCGATTTTTACCGAGAAACAATCACTCCTCCGTCTCCTACCGGATCACCACCTCCACCTTCATCCTTTGGAATCCTGCCACGGACTCGACCGAACGGCGACCAGCCCAACCCCAAAACGACACACCCCGCTCGTCCTCGGCATCGCCGCCAGCGCAGTAGTATCCAGCTTTCTGGCACTGGGGTGGGAACGCTTGACCCCACCTCGACTGGCCCGGGGCCTGCGTTAGATGGGTTCACCCGATTCTTCGCACAGCACATTCCGAATCTCGCACTGGCACAACCCCCAGATAATTCCAGGGAAGCTTCTTTCGACTCCTTATCTACTGTCACATCTAATGCATCGACTGGCCTCGAGAACATTGGCGGGGCTTTTGAGGGATGGGTTCGAAAGGTAGCAACGCGCGCTAAGGCCGGCATCAATGAGCTGCAGCAAGGACCACCCACACAGCAGGGCAGCAGCAGGGGCCGCAATATGTGGCGGATGGACGACTTAATTGAGCTGGACGATGGGATGGTGGATGGCCGGAATTCCCCTAGCCCGCTCAAGGGTGCATCGCGGAGGTCTGATTTCCAGGGGACCTCATCCTCATCCTCATCTAACCAATACAACAGCCCTTCGGTCGTGGCAGCGAGCAGGTCTCGTGCGACTGGATTTGGTGCGGGCTCCGGTTCATCCGCCTATGGCGATCGGGTCAAGGATGATTAATGTGTTTGAATTTCCAAGCGTACATAATAAGAGTCTCCGCGTGTGTGTATCCTTCGGAGTTCAAGATTTTTGCATTTCTTTTCTTCGCCCGTTTTCTTTTCCCTGAGCGAGGTGCTTTTGTTCTCACTTTGGCGTTGCCATTTTCTAATGCCAACTCACAATATTTGGCATTGGAAGCACGCATGCATGAGAAGTTTGTATAGAACAGGATGCATCTTAGACGCTATCTTGCCATTTGCATACAGCTCATTGACCCCATTGGATATTCGGCCAATGTATCAAATAGCCAGGCTGTTGCGTGATGGATTTGTCTTGCTTTGGACTAAACCAAAGCATTCCTCTTGTTATCTCTTCTCTTTGACATGTTGGATGTACAATATCTTCAACGCTCTTGTTGCTACTAATTTTCTATATTATGGGCTTTCAGCGTAATGCTCTATTTAGAACAATATTTTCCAAATAGACTATTCGCTTTGCAGTGATATGCGTCTTCTTTTCGTCTTTATTTAGCTGTATCATTCTGTAAAGGACCTTGAATATTTCTGACTACCATTGACCACTGCAAGTATAACCATATCTTGACGGAAAGACCAGTCGCTCTCCACCCTTGGCTCGGAGTCTCCCCTTATATTTCCCACCTATGAGCACCCGGGGCACCAAAGATCACAGCTCATCCCCAATGATAG